CAAACATCGTATGACTTCACTCATATGTGGAATTTAAGATACAAAACATTGGGGCGCCTGGGTGGCGCAGTCGGTTAAGCGTCCGACTTCAGCCAGGTCACGATCTTGCGGTCCGTGAGTTCGAGCCCCGCGTCAGGCTCTGGGCTGATGGCTCGGAGCCTGGAGCCTGTTTCCGATTCTGTATCTCCCTCTCTCTCTGCCCCTCCCCCGTTCATGCTCTGTCTCTCTCTGTCCCAAAAATAAATAAAAAACGTTGAAAAAAAAATTAAAAAAAAAAAAAGATACAAAACAGATGAACATAGGGAAGGGAAGCAAATATATATATATAAACAAAGAGGGGGACAAAGCATAAGAGACTCTTAAATACAGAGAACAAACAGGGTTGCTGGAGGGGTTGTGGTTGGGGGGCTGGGCTAAATGGGCAAGGGGCATTAAGAAAGATATTTGCTGGGATGAGCACTGGGTGTTATACATAGGGGATGAATCACTGGAATCTTCTCCTGAAATCATTATTGCACTATATGCTAACTAACTTGGATGTAAATTAAAAAATAAATAAGTAAATAAAATTTTAAAAAAAGAAAGGATTTGTATCCTCCCTATGTAAACTCTTACAAGGCCATTCGAAAAAGGCAGATGATTGAAAAGAGAAATTGGCAAAGGGCTTGGGCTGATGATTCACAAAAGGGGATATTTAAATAATAATAAACATCTGAGAAGGCATTCAACTTCTTTAGTCATCAGCAACATGCAAATGTGGAGAAGACACACAAACCAAGTGTTGACAAAAGCATGTGGCAAGCAAGGCTTTGGGATCCTCATGCTTTTTCCCAGCATGCTGATGGGAAACAGTCTGCTGTAGATGTTAGATGAGTCCACTGCAGTATCTACTGAAGCAAAACATGCATACACGGCCCCGCCACCCCATCCCCCGGCATATACTTCACTGAATTGTGTGTGCATGTTCAACACACACACAAAAATGAACGAGAATATCTATGAGAGCCAAAAAATGATGACACACATGTCCACAAACAGTAGGATGGATAAATAAGTGGTAGTAAATTCAGACAACAGAACACAGCAGTGAGAATGAATGAATGATTGCTATACGCAGTGACATGGATGAATCGCTCGTAATGTCGAATAGGGGGAGACACAAAACAGAAGGGGAAAAAAAGAAATCAGCCTGTTTGATTCCTTGTTTGATTTGCTTGAAGTTCAAAAAACAAGTTGTAGAGGCCGCTTTTAGGCAAACAGGTTTGAGCAGTGATAGAATGTAGAGAGGGCCACAGCGACTACCTGGCTGAACAGACAGGACAATCAGGCAACCCACCCGGAAATACCCTTAATTCCTAACTGACCAGTGGGCTACTTACAACCAGGCACAGGTACCAAAAAAGGGAAAGTTCAATAAGTCAGCATACTTTGTCATCTTCCCCCTTTCAAAACACCCCGCACCCACTGCCTCCTTGCAGACAGCCTCCCCCCTGCTGTCCTGCCCACCACTCCCTTGTGGTGTATTCCATAAACTTCTATTTCCTTTGGGCTGCCTTGGGTGAATCCTTTCAGTGCTCAGGCCGCAGGCTCCTACCTGATTGTCACCTGACATTTGCGGGCCCCCCATCCAATCGGACAGACACCACACAAGTGTTAGTAGTTAGCCTTTAGGGCAGTTACTGGGAAGGGGCATGAGAGGGTTTCTGGGCTGCTGGTTATGGACCTAGATGGTGATTATACCGGTGTCCTTGCTTTGTGAAAATTCCAAGGGGTACATTATACTTTGTATCCTTTTGATACATATGTTGTAGAAACGTGAAAAGTTTGCTTAAAATAATCGACATTGCACAAAATAAGAATCACTTGGGTAAGAATTACAAGAATTAACTGAGGTTATTTATAACATTTTTTATTGCATTGTTAAGTCTTTACTAAAAGACACTGTACATAAACAAATAGAACTGGAGATATAAAGAATACATCAAAATGAGGGGTGATAAAAGTAATGGCAAACTTAAAAGGTAGCATTTTTATAAGATGTATTAGTTTTGTTCAGAAAGGACACATCAGAGTAGTTTCAAAGGCAACTTTACATTTAATAAAAAATATGTGCAAATATTTCCAAATGTACACAATTTGATTTTTTTTTATTTGTTATAGACATTCACATACAACACTGGAATCTTATCCTATAGGTTAAAAAAAATAACAAAAGACAACCTTAATTTCAAGTAAATTTGTCATTGACAACACAGATTTAAAAGTATGGTTACTATTCACAACATGCACAGAAAAGACAGCATCCCTAGAGTGTCCTTGGGAAACAAGTCAGCTAGACTGTGGTCTTACGAGTGGGACCCAAGATTTTACAAAACTCTAGCCTTATTGTAAAATTTAAGTTTGGTATGTCCTTCAACTAATGAGCAAAAGGGCAGTGCATATTTCCTCAATCGAACAGAGACATTCATCCATTTTTTGCAAAACTGTTATATTCAATCTTATAAGATTTGTCACTTTTATAGGCAGGTATTGATGTGGAAATGAGATAATATTATAACCCTGTTTAGGCTATTCCCAAAAGAGACATCGTTCTAAATCAGCGGAGGACAGTACAACCCATGAGTGTGAAAGAATATTGCAACATCCCAATCCACTGCAACTCACTTGAATTCTAATATGCAGAAGCAGAACGTGTGGGAGTTAGGGGAGATGATGGGGCCACCTTTAGGTAACCAGTGTGGTGTGATCACTGAAAATAATTCTTCCAAAGTAGATAACTTGTTTCTGATTGTATTTAAGAAGAAAAACGGGGAGAAGACATACTGCCTTTGAATAGCCAAACACATTTGAGAATTTCACACGTTTTGTGCCAGAGGTACAATGTAACTCTCAACCAGGCAAAACAGCGTCTCAGTTGGGGACCTGAGTATTTCTTTTCCCCTCAAATTTAAGTACAACCTCATTCATTCCAGTGTGAAATGTATGGTAATAGTCCTTGGGACTAAAGCCTATGTATTATATATAATACCTAGAAAATTGTTGGCACTCAGAAAAGATTAAAAATAAAAGACGCAAAATGTTCTGGTTTAAAATACGGATTTTTACGAACCTATGTATTTTCTGGATGTCTGGGTAGCTCAGTCAGTTAAGCGTCTGACTCTTGGTTTCAGCTCAGGTCATGATCTCAGGGTTTCATGAGTTCGAGCCCCACATCGGGCTTTGTGCTGACAGAGCAGAGCCTGCTTGGGATTCTCTCTCCCTCTCTCTTTGCCCCTCCCTCACTCACTCTCACACACTCTCTCTCCCTCTCTCTCAAAAATAAATATATAAACTTTTTTAAAAACTATATATTTTCTATGTATATAGTCCAAACAAGTTTTTTTTCTTTTGATATTGAGCTCATTTAGAATGCTCCATCTTTAAAAACTCATTTAAAAATTTTTTTTATATTTATTTATTTTTGAGAGACAGAGTGAGACACAGTGAGACTGAGGGAGGGGCGGAGAGAGAGGGAGACACAGGATTGGAAACAGGCTCCAGGCTCTGAGCTGTCAGCACAGAGCCTGATGCGGGGCTTGAACCCACAGACTGTGAGATCATGACCTGAGCTGAAGTTGGAACGCTCAACTGACTGAGCCACCCAGGCACCCCTTTAAAAACTCATTTTAAACATAGATTTATAATCAGGCTGTTCACTTTTTATTTATTTATTTTTGTTTGTGTTTGTGGTCAGAATTCTGTTAAAGATCACTTGCTTTACATCTTGCTAAAATTTTAGAGAAAAATATCAACTCAGCCTTATAAATGTATCAAAATTAGGTTTTTTTTTGTTCAAAATAACACAATTTTTGCATTAGATTTTAAGTAGAACATACCTCTATAGACCTGTACACAGTGATAATTTCTATAAACTCAGGTAAATTAAAGCTGCATGTTTAAGCTAGAGATAATCTGTCATACATTGTATTTGATCTTAACTGTGATCCATGATTATTATCATATCAAATATGATTTCTACAAGCCACAATAATCTCATTGCTTCACTCCTTTGAATCAGTGTTTCTAAAATAGATCAGCCTGTTTCTGAAACTTTTATTATTATTTTTTTTAATGTTTATTTATTCTTGAGACAGAGACAGAGCGTGAGCGGGGGAGGGGCAGAGAGAGAGGGAGACACAGAATCCGAAGCAGGCTCCAGGCTCTGAGCTGTCAGCACCGAGCCCGACACGGGGCTCGAACCCACGAACCGTGAGATCATGACCTGAGCCGAAGTCAGATGCTTAGCTGACTGAGCCACCCACGCACCCCTAAAATAGATCAGCCTGTTTCTGAACTTTTTAAGTGATCCTTTTTTTTTTTTTTTTTTTTAATCTGGTCACATATAATAACACTGATTATTGAGTACTAAATTTGCGTTTTAAAAACTTTGTTGATGTATTCACTAAAAGTGGTTTTTGAAGACCTTTATTGACGAATGCATTAATGATTAAACTTCTTCATTTATTCAGTGCCACCATACACTGTGATCGATGCAGCTCATGGGAATCGAGGTCAGTCAGAAATTGATTTTTTCTTACGATAATCCTTCCCGACTCACCTGCCCACAGAGACTGTTGGGGCACACTTACCCCGACTAAACAGGGGTACACCAGTCCCCCACTAGAGCACTGTTAGCAAATCTGATATGAAGGAACAGCAGCATAACATCAGCAGATCCTGGACATTGCTAAATCACCTGGATAATCTTCACCGTTTTGCGCATTGTAGAGGTAAGCTATTTACTTTATAAATCAAGCCTTAAAAATAAATCTTAGTCGTTCTCTTTCATTGGCTAAGAAGTTAAAAAAAAAAAAAAAGATTAAAAAAAAAATCGAATGGAAAGAGAATGAGTGTCTCAAGTCCAAAGAAATAGTCCATGCAGAAAATGTTTGCATAGAATTACGTTGGTGGGTAAATTCTGCCTTGCAGTCCCGGCTTATAGCAACCTCCTGAGCCCACTTTCAGGAAGCAAGGCTGCGCATAGCCTGTGGAAACAAAGGGGAAATGAAACGTTCATACGAATGAATTCTCCTTTGGTCTACATTATCTCTGTGTTTTACAAATAGGATTTCATAGTTTGGGTTACTCACATCTACTCATCCTAGGTGTGCATGGGGCAAAAACTTAATTTTGTACCTCGTTACTCTCCACTTGGGTTTCTTTAGAAACCGTAAGTACTGTTTATTGAGCACTTACTATGTACAAGAGACTAGTATTCCTTTGCATGCATCCTTTAATTTGTACAACTCTGTTGTACTGTTTCTATTTCACATGAAGGAACTAAAATGAAGACACAGCAAGTAATTTTCCCTGGGCTACACAGCCGGTGAGTAGCAGATTTGGGACTAGCACACAAATCTGTCTCGTTCTAAAGCTCATACTTTTATTTATTTTTTTTTTTATTTTTATTTTTAAAAAAAAAATTTTTTTTTAACATTTATTTATTTTTGAGACAGAGAGAGACAGAGCATGAACGGGGGAGGGTGAGAGAGAGAGGGAGACACAGAATCTGAAACAGGCTCCAGGCTCTGAGCAGTCAGCACAGAGCCCGACGCGGGGCTCGAACTCACACACCGCGAGATCGTGACCTGAGCTGAAGTCGGACGCTTAACCGACTGAGCCACCCAGGCGCCCCAAGCTCATACTTTTAAAACCACTTCACTGTACTCCTTTGCTAGCTACAGGTACCCTACCTGAATGATCCTCTAATCCATTACCTGAATAAAGATGCCGTTAGTTTATAGGGCAATCCAAAAATACTTCTGTAATGTGGCAACTTCCTAACTCCCAATTTTGATGAGTTTTTACTCCACTAAGTCAGCCTTATAACCATAATCACAAACTGCTAAAGCTGGAAGTACTTCTAAGCTCAAGAATGACATCCCCAGGCACCTGGGTGGCTCAGTCAGTTAAGCATCTGACTTGATTTCAGCCAAGGTCTTGATCTCAGGGTCATGAGTTCAAGCCCCATGTTGGGCTAAGAATGACATTCTTAGACTTGCTAAGCTGATGGACTAAGGAGGTAGGACCTCTGATTTTCACCCTAGCAATGTATTTTCTCCACAAAAATCTCTGCCTGTTCTCCACACTACCTGATTTTACCATAGGGGTTCGAATGTTGAGAACAACATGTTTATCAAGATCTGGAATAAGGCAGAGAAGGCAAGCTGATCAGATTTGCATATGACGCCAGTAGGATGGAGAGTTCGTATGCAGGTGAGAAGTTCAGAATTCTAAACTGTATCCACAAACTAGAACCAACAAGATGTAGTCTGGCAAAAATATGTGTAACCCTGCTTTAGGGTCAAAACTCAATTATATAAATATAAATGAGGAGCCTAGCTGGGCCATAGTTTGTGTAAAATGCCCAAGTTTGTTGTTGGCCCCTTGCTCAATAGTAGCCAAGATTTTGATGTGGCTGCAATGAAAATAAATACATTTTAAAGTCACAGTAATAGACATATCTTGACAAGATCAAGGTGGTTGCATAATCTCCATGCTGACCTGACTCCATCTGGGATCTTATGTCCCCTTTTTGACTAGAGAAGCATTGACAAATTTTGTGCCTGAGGAATAAAGGGAACTGGAGAATTCTAGCCTGAAGTAGAGTCTGATGGAACATGAGAGCTACCGTCAAATATGTAAGGGCTGTTCAGTGGGAGGGTTTGTGTTGCTACAGAAGGCAGATCTCAGTCCACTGGGTAGTTACTAAAGAAAGGCTGCATCTCGTTTTGTAAGCAAAACTAACACTTGGAGAGGAGACATCCAACCATGTAACAAACTCCCTTGAAAAGCTACCAGTTGCCAATATCTAGAAATGTGCACACAAAAGCTAAGTCAACATCCTTGGGGATGGACTAGGAGAGATCTCTGCACAGGGCTAATATGTGGATGTCTTGATATTCCAAGACATCTTTCAACCTTAAAGTTTCTATGCTCTTCCTTTGTGGGCCCCATCTTACTTGATGGTGGAACCATAGAGTTCAGTCAGATACTACGCTTCGGTCAAGGTTCTTAGGAAGAGTCTGATGTCCCAAGAGCATGAGAAATACATGGCATCAGTCTTGAATGGAGTATCCTGTTTACCATAGTCAGTCAGATAAAGAAAGGGTCCTGTGCCTCACATACTTCTCTTGAAGCTTATGAAACTCCCTGGCCTTAGGTAGGAAAGGAAGAGGATGTATGGGGAGGCTTAGGTAGAAAATCAGGACCAGTGTGCTGGCTGCTTCTAGTCACTGATCATGCCTACATACCTGGGGCAAAGGGTCCCTAAGTACTTAATGCCCCCAAGGGATAATTCTTGTTTTCCACCATTTTCCCCTCTCTATGAAGCCATCCTTCTGGTATTTTTTCTTAATTATTTCCCCTGAGTTGTTTTAATCAGACATAGTCAACTATTTGTGTTATTCTGTTGATTCAAGATTTAATCCAAATTATTTTCTTTGAAAGAAACTAATGACCATACCTCATCCTGGACATCAAGTTCTTCTTCAATCAGCTCTGCCTCCATTAATTCAAGAGGATCTTTACAGTCTTGGATGAGCGTAATCTTGACCAAGAGAACAGAGAATATTTATTGGAACGATAATGACATCAGCGCATCAGCCCACCTGATACCCCACAGAAAATTATCTGAGGCTTTGCTGGTGTTTCTCATCTATGATCTACATACTGCAAAATCCTTCACAGCTTTCTTGTTCTTCTGCATTTCCCACCTTAGAATTTTTCCCCATACTATTTTTTCACATTCAAGTGTGAACTGGCACCGTTCTCCACTGTCTCACCTCCTTTTCAGCTCTCTTCTCCAACCTCTGAAGTGTGTACCTCTTAAGAGTCACCCTGTCTGCCTAAATGACTCAGGACTCAGTTGTGTTTTTCTTTCAATGGCTGAGCTGAGAGCACTTAGTACACCCTCGAGTATACAGCGAATGCCCAGCGGAGGGCTTGTGACTGATGACAATGAACAGTCCCCCGCTGAACTGGATGGAGATTTTACTGGAGGTGGAAGACCAGAGTGTATGGACCCAGTTGGTTTTGGGGAAAAGTTCTGCTTTTTAGCAGTAACGTGCAATTTAACCTTCCACACAGAGGAAACCAATAGCAATTTGGGCTTTGTTTTATGTGTGAAGAAGGATATTTCTAAAGCAACTCCAAATGTGTACCCAGACAAGAGTGATGTTTCAAAGTGCTTTTCAGCTACTTTCCACCTCAGACATAAATAACCCAATTCTCTTTGCTCGTGCAGAAATGTATCAGGGACTTGTTGTCCTCTGTTGCGGATGGTCATGACATAATGGGAAAGTTAGAGGCTGGGTGTAACCACAAGTTGAGGCTATCCTGGGATAATCCCTGTGATGGTTAAATAAAGGGACAGGGAGAGGGTCATATCACTGCATCCGCAATCTCCATAATATGCCAGTTACACTTCCTGAAGGAAAGGAAAGAACCACAGGCAAGAGTTATCATCATTTGCTAGATATCTATCACATATGGGACTTTGTGCTAGACACTGAAGTCACATAGAAGTAGAAGGTTCCTGGTATAATGGGTCACCAGTAGCGCTCATCCTCCTATCCAGTGACCTGGTAGGTGTATGATAGAAGCACTCATTTATATGCAGTCTAACATTTGTTCAGGGTCAAAAAATCCATCTCAGCCACTCTCAATGCCTCCCTGATGGCAGACAAGATGGAGTCTAGCCCTGGGAGGGGCGGGGCATGCTTGGTTAGTGGTTTCTGTGATACTCCTGGCCTGAGAGCTTGAATCAGAAGTAGGGTATAAACAAATAACAAAATAACCATTTTCAGGTTGAGAAAGAATTTGACACCTCAGGTCTAGATACTTTTAAGTGAGGTGTTTTTTTGTTTTGTTTTGTTTGTTTGTTTTTTAGATGTTTTGGATGATCCTGCTTTGGTTTTGTTACCTGTGAGTTAGAGGATTTTAAGTTAGAAAGTAGAGGAAAGTTTATGAGTTTTCTAAGATGAGCATCTTGCATGTAGCTTGCTTTCTTTTTCTTCTTTTTTTTGTTTTTTTTTTGAGATTTGTGATTTTACTCCTTTTTTTTTTTTTTTTTTTTTTTTTTTTTTGTATGTAAGATCCATACCTTGGTATTTAGTGCTAATATCCACCCCCTACTCCCCAGCATTAAGAGGCCTCTCCACTAACAAGAGCTAAAAAGAATAATGCACTATTGTTTTCTGAGCTAGTTTTACTTCAAACATTAACTTCCAATATACAATAAAAACTTGCTCATCTGAATTTTAGAAAGGAAGGAAGCAATTAAAAATATAGTACATTGTGTCACTGGAATAATTACTATTGTTGTTATTTTATAAGTGTTTGTTTTAATTTTTCAAATTCACTGTCAGAGGGTCCATGAGAGAAGAGGTTCTTGGGCCAGGCCCAGTGACTCAGCCCAGTGACCCAGCCCGGAATGCTTGGCTGTCCGGGGTATGTGTCAGGAGAGTTGACAAAATAAGGAAGCTCATGGGAAACCAGGGTCTATTCTGTTTTCTGGGAAATTATTAACTCTGGGCTGACTCATGACTTTTCTTTTTTTCTTTTTCAAAGATCAGTTATGACCTAAAGGATTCTATTTAAAGACATTTATCACTGAGGTTTTCCAGATGGCTGAAAATTTAAATTATATATATAATTGTGCATTTGTATACCCATATCACAGAAAATCCGAGATTCGCCATCTATATTCTAAAAAGGCATTATTACAGTGAATGCCTACTTTTATTAGTAAGCTCACACGTTGTAAAATAAGTGTGCACCAGGTACTACCAGGTGCTTTCCTATAAACTATCTTATTTAGTCATCCTATTAACCCCGTGAGGTAAATGTTTTTACTCCCATTTTACTGATGAAAAAAACTCAGGCCCTGAGAAATCAAGCGGATGGCCCCAAATCCTACTAGACTGTGATTCAGGTGTAGATTTGTGAAAATCTTTCGCTCTTTACAGAAATCATCGTAGTTTAGGAAAGATACTTATGTAGAAAGCTTAAATGTTTACCGTTTCTAAAATGGAATCTTGAACCTCTTGGGATTTAACCTGGTTCTGTAGATGGAGGACAGCATCATGGACCGTCAAAAAGAATATGTCCTTTCTAATGTTATCATTAAAGAAATCACATCTCTCCAGTTTTTCTATCACATGATCTTCAAAAGAAAGAGATGATGTTCAGTCTCTAGCAAAACACGTTTGTAACATCAGCCAATACTAAATTTTGTCAGCCCCTCCTTTTCATTTTGTTCCCTTCATTTTCAAAATGTGACCCTGCTCTAAACTGACTGAGTTTCTTTTCCAGAAGCACAGGGAATGGTTATGCCATAACTGGTTGTGGTAGACAGCCTCGGCTCACAAGCACGTGGTTTTGCCAGGGTACCCGTCCTCAGGCTGCCATGATGAGCCTGGCTGTTAATGACTCACAGCTGTGCCTTTCTCTGAAGAATTTTCCTTGGTCACTGGTTTACACCGCAACCTTGGGCGGCCTACAGCCTTTTACTCACTGATATGAGGGTAAAAAGGCTGGCCCCCTTACCTCAAGGAAGGGTAAACTTCTGATGCTTTTCCTGCTTTGTGTTCCTTTCAAACTCAGGCTAAGGTAGACTTCTAAAACAATGTCTTTGTCCAGCCTCTTCCCCTGCCCTATGCTGCCTCCAGCAGTCCTGCATGAATTTCTCATGTATACTCTCAATAAGTCACTTGCCCAAGAATCTTTATCTCAGGGCCTATTTCTAGAGAACTCAGTCTGAGCACTAGCATTTTCCTATACACATACACTCGTACATAGAGAGACACAGACTCAGACCCTAGAGGAGCCTCTGCTTCTAAAGAACCTAAGTCATCCCCATGGTAAATTTTCTCCATTGGCCCTGTACTGTTATCAGGACATACATTTCCATGGATTACCAGCTCTACTGCACAGATTGGAAGTAATATTTTTCCAGGTTTCAAAAAGGCCCTCTGAGTGATTGCATAATGGGTAGAGTTTTTGTTTGTGGCACTGAAAAATTTTGGAAATTGATAGCTGTAATGGCTGTGCGACATTGTGACTGTACTTAGTGCCACTGACTTAATTGTCCACATGAGCATGACCAAAATGGCAAATTTTATGCTATACATCTTTTACCACAATAAAAAATAGTTTGAAAAAAAGGCTCTTTGGACATCATGTACCCACACTCCCAAGGTAGAAGAAAGGGCTCAGCAGAAAGTCTTATAGGTAGATATGTTTGTGCATGCATTTACCTTGAAGCGATGCAAAGTACACATTTACATCAATTCTTTGAAATTCTTTGACAATCTAAAAATTTAAAAAAGAATTTGTAACAATGAGTGACTTCATCTACCCATAATTCAGTAGCATTCAATTACTCGCTCAGGAGAAACTTGAACACTTTCATGGTTAATCAGGACTTTAAGGAAAGTTGATTACTGGAGGAAAGTTCATTATTGGGAAACCACAGAAGTTTTCAACCTACAGTGATGGTATGATTAGGGATGAAAAGACCATCTCAAGAGGTGGTAAATCCAGTGCACAACAGCACAGGGCTCAACAGCACAGAGGCGATTAAAGAATGTTTGCGGAAGAAAGGAAAGAGGGGCATACAGGAGGCTTCCTAACATAGTCCCTGCTGATTAGAGACAAGAGCATACATTTGTATCTTGCAATGGAAGATACAGGCGTATGGATATGTGGCCATCGGATTCCAAATGTAAAACTGACCTAAAAAGGCCTCTGTATTTTGACTGTATCAATGTGAATATCCTGATTGTGATTTCTGTTCTATGGCATTGCAAGATGTTCCCAGGGGGAGAAACTGGATAAGGGTTTCATAGGATCTCTCTGCATTATTTCTTAAAACTCCATGTGAATCCACAATTATCTCAAGATAAAAAATTTAATTAAAAAACTCAAGATACAGCCAAAGGCAATATTGAGAAATAAGAACAAAGCTGGAGGTATCATAATCCAGGATTTTGAGATATGCTATGAATCTCTAGTAATCAAAACAGTATGGTACAGGCACAAAAATAGGCATATAGATGAATGGACCAAGATAGAGAGCCCAGAAATAACCCCACACTTAAATGGTCATTTTTTTAAAATGTTTGTTTATTTTTGAGAGAGAGAGAGACAGAGACAGAGTGCAAGTGGGGGAGGGGCAGAGAGAAGAAGGAGACACAGAATCTGAAACAGGCTCCAGGCTCTGAGCTGTCAGCACAGAGCCCGACACGGGGCTCGAACCCACAGACCGCGAGATCATGACCTGAGCTGAAGTCGGACGCTTAACCAACCCAACCACCCAGGTTACCCACACACTTATGTGGTCAGTTAACCTATGGCAAAAGAGGCAAGAATATACAATGGGGAAAAGACAGTCTCTTCGACAAATGTTGTTGGGAAAACTGGACAGCTACATACAAAAGAATGAAACTGGACTCCTACCTTACACCATACACACAGAAAAACTCAAAACCCAGCAACCTACTCAATGGGAGAAGATATTCATAAATAATACACCCAATAATGGGTTAATATCCAAAATAGAGAAAGAACTTATACAACTCAATACCCAAAACCCCAAATAATCTGATTAAAAATGGACCGGAATAGATGTTTTTCCAAAGAAGACCTACAAATGGCCAACAGACACATGAAAAGATGCTCAACATCACTCATCATGGGAAATGCAAATCAAAACCACAATGAGATATCACCTTCCACCTGTCAGAATGGTTAATATCAAAAAGACAAAAATTAACAAGCATTGGAAAAACTGTGGAGGAAAAGGAACCCTTGTGTACTGTTGATGGTGATATAAATTGGTGCAGGCAGCTACTGTGAAAAACAGTATAGAGGTTCCTAAAAAAATGAAAAATAGAAATAACAAATGATCTGATAATTCCACTACTGGGTATTTACCCAAAGAAAATGAAAACACTAGTTCAAAAAGATATACTCACCCCTCTGTTTATTGAACATTATTTACAATAGCCAAGCTATGGAAGCAACCCAAGGGTCCATCAATAGATGAATGGGTAAAGAAGTGGTGTATACACACACACACACACACACACACACACACACACACACACACACTAGAATATTACTCAGCCATAAAAAAAAATGATATCTTGCCATTTGCAACAACATAGATGGACAAAGAGACACGTGAAAAGATGCTCAACATCACTCATAATGCTAAGTGAAATAAGTCAGAGAAAGACAAATACCATACGATTTCACTCATACGTGGAATTTAAGAAACAAAGCAAATGAGCCAACAAACAAAAAAACCCCAGAGTCTTAAATACAGAGAACAAACTGGTGGGTTGCCAGAGGGGAGAAGGGTGAATAAAGGAAATTAAGAGTACCCTTATTGTGGTGAGCACTGAATAATGTATAGAATTTGTTGAATCATTACATTATTCATCCGAAACTAATGTTATACTGTATGTTAATTATATTTCAGTAAAAATTAAAAACAAAAAATCAAGACATGAGAACTATGGGCAATAATAAAAGAGAACTTCACATTTTAAGGGGAAAAAAAAATCAAGACCTCTGTTTGGAGATATAAATAAATAGGTGTGGGTGTGGGAAATATCCTGGCATTAGATAAGTTAGTACTCTCCCCAAAAGTAATTCATTAAACCCTTTGCCCAATACAATCTACAATGGATCTGAACCAAAGACGAGAGTAAAGTGCACAGTAAAGAATAAGATTTATGTTTTCATTTATGTTCTCAAATGAGCATTATAATAGCCAGGTTTTCTAAAAGAACTGGAATAGAACCTGTCAGTGTGTGTGTGTGTGTGTGTGTGTGTGTGTGTGTGTGTTTAGAGAGAGCACAAGCAAGGAAGAGGGACAGTGGGGACAGAAAGAGAATCCCAAGTAGGCTCCACACTCAGCATGGAGCCCAATGTGGAGCTTGATCCCACGACCCTGGGAATCACAACCTGAGCCAAAATCAAGAGTCAGATGCTCAACTGAGCCACCAGGAGCCCTGCAACTGTCAGCATATTCTTGAACTCTTCTGTCAAGTATAATCACTTTTTCTGCCTAACCTGCCTACTATCCACCCCGTGGAATCATTTCCTGCCCTTGCAGAGGCAGCCAGGAAGCCCCAACTAGGCTAAACCTCAGTTAGGGTTTCATTTCCAAAGTTTTTAAATAGACTTTAAACATTTTTAAATTTTAATTCCAGTGTAGTTAACATATCAGTTCCAGGTGTACAAAATAGGGATTCAGCAGTTCCATATATGCCTCAGTGCTCATCAAGAGAAGTGTACTCTTAATCCCCTTCACCTATTGGGGTCATTTCCATGTTATTACATCTGATTGTCAGTACCTTGACCCTGCTTTTCTCTCCAACCCTCTTACTACAACCTGCAGCTTCACCTAAACTTGACACTTGCAGTCAAGTTGACCCTAATAAGTCTGTTTTGGAGCACTTCACATGGTTGTCTTTATTTTATTTTATTTTATTTTTTTAATGTTTATTTTTGAGAGAGAGAGAGACAGACAGACAGAGTGTGAGCAGGGGAAGGGCAGAGAGAGAGGGAGACATGGAATCAGAGGCAGGCTCTAGGCTCTGAGCTGTCAGCACAGAGGCTGACGCGGGGCTCAAACTCATGAACTGTGAGATCATGACCTGAGCTGAAGTTGGTCCCATGACCCAGGAGCCCCCATTTTTTCTTCTTTTAAATATTCCATTTTCTATACTCAAAAAAATAAAACCTAATAAATATTAGTATTTGCTGAGATACTTCTAAACATTCTTTCTTTATATATACATAGTATATATATATATTATATATTAGCTTTTTTATTAGCTACATATATAATATGTCCATATATATAAACCTATTTAATCTTCATAACAACCCCATGAAGTAGGTACCATCATTACCCCCATATTGCAGATTAAGAAATTGAGGTACAGACAGATTAAGCAACTTGTCCATGGACACACTGTGAGTAAGTGGGACAGCCGGGATTCAACCACATGTCTGGCCTCGCAGTCTATGCTTTAAAATACTACACTCTGTTGCAAAAGCATTCCTCTAGAAAAATTACAGATCCGACAATCACCCTTTTGCAAGACCAGGTACCCCGTATCGTGGTACTATGGCCAAAGCTCCAAATCTGTCATTCAAAGCACCAAAACCTTACCATTCGCAATGATCTCACTCCAACAACATCCAAGAAAGACACAGCTCCACAATCAAGCACGAGGCTGTGGATTGGCACTTTGGGAACATTCACTTTGACCGGAAGCTCAGAGTTCCAATCCACTTGAATCTCTATTTCCTTGGTTGGGATATCAAGGTCTTCTGGGTCTTCAACATCTTCATCAGGCTCAAAAGCATCATTTGATGAACCAGCATCCCTTATAATGCCATTCTAAACAAAGAAAACACTGCCAACTTAGTTGCCAATGACCAGGGACACCTTGCAATAATGCATCTCAAATTACTTAAAAGTCCTATGCACTTTTCCTTGGCGAGCAAAACATCAAAGGGATGAACTCTTAAGGAATGAGATTTACCTCAGTCCAAACTGTGATGTTCCCTAAGAAGAAAAATGGAAGAGCAGAGGAGCCAGGAAACTCCTGATTTCTGGAAGATTGTGGAACTTGGCCAAGAGATACATAGGCAGGAGAGTCTGAATAAAAGGTAATAGATCTAAAAGTTTATGAACTCAGCTGCCTTCTGTTGTGAGCATTTTTCTGGTATTGAATTAGCATTTATTTTCTTCCCTTCAGTAAAAATAAGGTTTATTTCTCGATCGGAAAAAGTATCACACTCTGTGTTTCCAGAGAGTTCTGCTGATTTTTTAATTCTCTCCCATTCCCTCTTGCCTACAAGAATAACTGTCGTCCAACATACATTGTCAACTGCCTGAACACATCTGGGTACCAAAGCGAATAAATCTAATTTTCAACTGTCTAACTGCTTTCATTTTCACATGAGAAGGAAAGGGATTTAACAAGAAAAAGAAAGATGTCGCCTCACCTTTGTTGCCCTTAATTGTCCTTTTTTGATGAGTTTCTGTATTGTCCTCAGTGCTTTCAGTCTCTTATTATACACTCTAATGGCATCAAATCCAACCTTTGGAAAGAAATGTCAAGTTACTTAAAACATCTGGTTCCTAATGCTCATTAATGGTAATTGTTATCTGGAAAAGCGATTTCCCAAGTGGTATTATTCCTTGAGACATCCTGCCAAAAAAGAAATTCTGAGGTCTGGTGGAGGTCTCCAGTATTACCCCTACCCCACCTAGCCAGAGACTCAGGGAAGACAGTCTCATATTAAAGGCTCTAAAAGAGTAAAATACAAACAAACAAACAAACAAAGCAAAAAAAAAAAAAAAAAAAAAAAAAAAAAAAAAAAAAAAAAAAAAAAAAAACCCACACAGAATAACCTCTTTAGCTTTAAGTCTGTGTTAACAAATTTCCTTGACATCACAGAGCCCTTTTGCTCTTGCAAAATCTATGACCATTCCCTTGAACCAGTTTGCTCTGGAACTCACTTAAGAAAAACACTGATGTAGGGGCAAACCTCAGCTTCAAAGCTTGGCATGCCATTCTAGGCCAGAATTTCCGGCTTACATATTCCACTTACACTTTCTACCCTTTACTCCAACTGGGCAAACACCCTCCCTGCCCAAATACACGTACTTACCTCTGACTCTCAGCTCACATAGTTTCCAAACACCTGACATAATCTTTCTTATGTGATTAGCCCAACCCACATGGATTTCTCCCTTCTCTGAACTCTTCACATTTACTGTCTAAACTACTGTTTTGGTCTTCCATAGTTATTGCTACCTGGATTTTAACGTATGGTATTTCTGGGTTCTTTCCTATTGCCAAACGGATTGTAAGTTACTTGGATGTTATAATTCTTAAAGCCCCATACAAACGGAATAGGGTGTAGGGTCTTGTCCAGTTTGAGGCAATAAATACCCGTAGAATGAATGAAGTCTCAAAGGAGGTTAGAAACCAAATTTCTAGGGATAAAATACTCACTGTGGACTTGATACATTTTTTAAAACCATCAACGTTGCCGTAAAAAATAGGACTGGAAAATCTAAGAATCTTCACTCCTTCAGGTTCTTCAATCTGGCATCAAGAAAACAAAATGTGTGAAGTTAAATAATTTCAGCCTTCAAATATTTAATTAAATTTCTGGCTTTTCGGCTAGGAACCAAGTTACAATTACTCAGAGGGGCTGGACGACAGCACTCACTTCTCCCTGAACAGGGGCTGTCTCCACTTAGGAGGCAATAGGTTATTCAAACTACTGGAACTTTACAGTCCCATAGAAGATCAAGTTAGGAAGGGCCTTCGTAAGCAATTATTCAACACTCTGATTTCCAGATGGAGAAACTGAGGCTGAGAATGAGGACGTGATTTGCCTCAGGTTCATACCACAGAACCCCAATTTGTTCTTTGGCTTAAAATTCTTAAAAAAAAAAAAAAAGGAGTGTTGGGGCACCAAGGTGTCTCAGTGGGTTAAGCATCCAACTCTTGATTTCGGCTTAGGTCATGATCTCATTGTTTGTGAGTTCGAGCTCTGCATCAGGCTCTGTGCCAGGGAGCCTGCTTGGGACTCTCTCTCTCTCTTTCCCTCTCTTTTTGCCCCTCCCCCTCTCGCTCTCTCTCTCAAAATAAATATATAAACTTAGAAAAAAAGAAGGAACAAGAAAAAAGGTAGTAAACTGAGGGGATGTGCAAGAATGGAGGCCAACAATGTCGGTTGCTTGTTCTCACCCTGACACATGGTGGCCAGACCAAAAGTAGAGCTTGCAAAATCCTAGACTTTCCTAGTCTTTAGGAATCATAGCGATTTCAGTCTGAGCCCCTGAGGTGAGAAAACAGGTGTTGGGAGGCTGAGTGATGTGGACAGAGTCTCCCCAAAGTGGAGCCTGGAACTGCAAACCCCCAAACTCAGCCCATGATTCCCTGAGCCAAAAGATTCTCTACCATCATTGTTTAGCTCTTGGCAGTGCTGAGAAAGATGTGGAAATAAATTAAGTAGCAGCTAATGGAATTCCAGATTCTGTGTCCAACATTTTTTTACGCTAAATTGGTTTTTTTCTTGATTTTCTTTCTCTGCTTTTTCATCGCCGTTTCCCCTGGTGACCGCTAAGCTACTTCAAGGAACACAAGCCTATAAGTGGGATGTGTCTTTTCTTTATGTTTTCACTTCCAATATTATATGTCATTTCTTCCAATTCCAAGATTGGAGCAAAATGTCTAATCAGAGAGCTTAAAAGTCTTGTGTTAGCATTAAATGAAGATAATCTTACAGGGATTTCAGATAATTTCATGGGGGGTAAGGATTACATAGCAGAGAAATAGAATTTTGATGCAACTTCTGGAAATAATCAAACTGCTTATTTTTTAAAATTCCTTTTACAATGGTTTTACATTAAAAGGACATTCAGGGGTGCCTGGGTGGCTCAGTCAGTTAAGCGTCCAACTTCAGCTCAGGCCATGATCTCATGGGTTCGTGAGTTTGAGTCCCACATTGGGCTTTCTGCTGTCAGCACAAAGCTGGCTTCAGATCCTCTGTCCCCCTGTCCCCATCCCCCACCCCTTCCCATGCTCTCTCTCAAAAATAAATAAACATTAAAAAACAAACAAACATTCAAACTAGCATGGACACAATTCATACAAACCGTGGATATCAGAGAGCACATTAGGTCAAAGTTTTCATGACACCCCCAGTGAACTTCTAAACTTTTCTGGAAGAAGCCTCCCCCCTTAGCTACCTTGTACCTAACACACTGAAAGAGAAATACGCTACCCCCTGAAAATCCAGGCTAGCAACCCAAGGGCAGCAACTGTCTCACAAAGGCACTTACATTTTTGTAATTCTTGGTACTTTTGTAAATGTCTGTGCTAGGAATGCTTCCAAGGCTGTTCCATGAGGGACTAAAAGAAGAAAAATTAGGTCAGGATTTTGTGGAACAGGCATACTTTGGAATAAAAAATGACAAGACATCACAGATACGAAAGAGCCCATCATTCTCGGCTCTTTATTGCATTGTGTGTCCTTGTTACAGATCACATCTTCCTGCAGCTAATTCTGAAATGAACAGCTGGTGTTTGCGTGGGCCCTTGGAGAAGGAGGATTTTCCTGAGGGCTGAGAGAAGTCATGAACATCCCACTCCCCTGTGTACAACACTTTAGAGGCCAAGCAAAGAGCTTTCACACATGTTAAGTTTTATCTAGGAGCCGCCAAACTTCTGGAAGGTCAGCAGTACTGTCCTCATTTTTATGGTTGAGTAAGCTGAGGTTCAGATAAAGCCAAAAAGGCCCCGGAGGTAAGGTTAGGTTAGGTTATCTTTAACCCAAGGGTCCTCAGTGCCTGGCACAGTGCCTGGAACTTACTCGGGAGTTAGAACAACTGTCTGATGAAATATGGCGAGTCTGCGGTGATCAGATTAGTCTCAATTTCTAGAAATGGGAGCCTGGGAGAGCCAGCAGTACATCCTTCCCATCAACCAGACTGTTCACTTCCTGTTCCTGGTACCATCAAAAACTTCCGTGATTCTTCAGGTGTGACTAGGGACAGGTGCTAAACATAATTCCCGAAGAAAGAGTGTCTGTTTGTGTGCCCTCTGGATCAGCCATATAATTACTGGAAATGAAATATTGCAGAGGATACAATTTTTGGTTGGCGAAAAGCCCAGTTACCAAATCAGTGGCCAAAACGTACCACTGCTTTCTCCTCAGCTTACTGGGCTGTGCCAAATTTTCACAGAGTGTTCATAAGCTATAGAGCCTCTCTCTACAAACCTTTCTCTCCCAACCACACCCACGCAAGGCAAAGCACACACTGTGGCATACAGACCATGAGAAGAAACATCTTCCAAGGACAGGTTCTGAGTTACTTTCCAGCAGCAAATTGGGTACTTTGGGAGCTCGTGAACTCTCCTGGGCCCTTGGGGAACCAGTTAAGAGTGCTGAGGCAGTGAACATAAGTTTTGGGGAAGACTCCAACGTGCCAGGGTAGGGAAGAAGTAAGAGAAGGAGAATTGGCCAGTGGAACAACAAGGGTGGGCTTATGCTAAGCTGAAGGTGTCTCAGCTGATGTTTTTCCAGATTCTTTTAACCTTCATGGCCCAAGCGCAGGCAGAGAAGAGGCCAGAACTCTGGAAAGATCACAGAAGTTTTGAGGAGGAAACCAGGCTCTGTTTGCCTCTCTGTTCAGACAATTTCATAAACACAGGAGAGCACATACCAAAAACCTCTTAAGAGTCAAAACAAAGCCTGGGTGGCTCAGTCGGTTAAGTATCCAACTTCGGCTCAGGTCATGATCTCATGGCTCGAGAGTTTGAGCCCCACATCAGACCCTATGCTGACAGCTCAGAGCCTGGAGCCTGCTTTGGATTCTCTGTCTCCCTTTTTCTCTCTTTGCCCCTCCCCAACTTGTGTGTTCTCTCTCTCTCTCTCTCTCTCTCTCTCTCTCTCTCAAAAATAAACATTAAAAAAAAAAAGAGTCAAAACAAAACCAACAAAAAACCATACACCTTCCGGCTCTCCCACAGATTGTTTTCCATGACATCAAGCCACGTCTTTGCTCTTTTCACTCGGTATATGACCTAATTACGTCTATTTCATACACTCATGTGGTTTCTTGGGTACATTTTCTTTGGCAGATCTGAATGAATTCGGGCTACAGTCAATGCTTTTAAAATCTCCTGTTCTGAGTTATTAGCTTCAGGAGAAAATGAGCTGTAATACACTTAGTGGCTATCTTGTCCCAAGCCGGTATGTGCCCCACAGACTGCATCTCATTTGCAGAAGGAACCACAGAGCCACGTCAGTCCTTACTGAGTCACGCATCTTTTATTCTTACTGTGACCAGAAGGAGAGGGCAGCAGTAGAGCATGTGACTAAATGCACAGATTTTGGGGTGAGATACATCTGGGTTCAAGCCCTGACTCTGCAACTTACTAGCTGTGTGATCTTGGGGAAGGTTCTTAACCTTTCGGAGCTTTGATTTTCTTTTCTGTAGAATGAGAATTAAAAAACCTATTCATGGGGCGCCTGGGTGGTGCAGTCGGTTAAGCGTCTGACTTCAGCCAGGTCACGATCTCGCGGTCCGTGAGTTCGAGCCCCGCGTCAGGCTCTGGGCTGATGGCTCGGAGCCTGGAGCCTGTTTCCGATTCTGTGTCTCCCTCTCTCTCTGCCCCTCCCCCGTTCATGCTCTGTCTCTCTCTCTCTCTCCCCCCAAAAATAAATAAACGTTGAAAAAAAAATTAAAAAAAAAAAAACAAAAAAACAACCTATTCATGGGATTGTCCCAAAGACTAAATATGATAATGTGTGCCAAGCACTATAGGCTTAATTCATAGAAGCCCTCAATACATGGTAACTATTATGAAAGGGAGTGGTTTCCCTATATTTTATTAAAATGGTATAAGAAATCTCAGGGTGTAGGGAGCCAGGGTGGCTCAGTCGGTTAAGCATCCGACTCTTGGTTTCTGCTCAGGTCATGATCTCACAGTTCGTGACTTTGAGCCCCACATCAGGCTCCGTGCTGTCGGATCGGAGCCTGGGAGCCTCTCTCTCCCTCTCTCTCTGGCCCTCCCCCGCTTGTACTCTTTCTCAAATAAATAAACTTAAAAAAAAAAAAGAAAGAAATCTCAGGGCATGTTGTCTTCTTTTTGGGAAATCTGGGTCTTACATTACTCACAATTGAACTCTCAGGACCACAGTCAGTAATCCAAACATGAGCCCAGCTAGTAAACCGAGGTCCAGCCCCAGAATGATGGACGCTATGCACGTAAACACCCAGATAACCTAGGACAAAACAGAAATGGAAAGAACCTCGTTAATCTGTCAGGGACCATCAGGTGAGACACTACCTGTAAAAACAAGAAGATCAATTGTCCATGAACAAATTCCACTTTTTAAAAATATTCTTACTTCATTTCATGTTTCAATGGAAGTAGAAACTGATGCTTCCAACAAAGACCAGTTGTCCCATTTCAATGTTTTGTTTTTAATTTAAGTTTTGAATAGGGAATATATTAACGTGGTTCAAAATGGAAGTAATATTAAAAAAGCGTACAGTAGAAAACCTTGCTTCCGACTCTCTCCCCTCTTCACCTGTCCAACACCCTCACTTGTGTTCACATTTCCATATGTGTCTCTGTGCATGTACATGTGCACACTTTTCACCAGTAGCTTTTGCAAGTACAAGCAAATATGACTGCATAGCATTATTTTATGTTCCCACATTTCTTAAAGATTTTATTTATTTTTTTAATTTTTAGAAAATGTTTATTTATTTATTTTGAGAGAGAGAGAGAGAGAGCGCACAAACAGGGTAGGGGCAGAGAGAGAGGGAGAGAACCCCAAGCAGGCTCAGTGCTGTCAAGGCAGAGCCCAGCGTGGGGCTGTATCCCACAAACCATTGAGATCATGACCTGAGCCGAAACCAAGAGTTGGAGGCTCAGGGTGCCTGGGTGGCTCAGTTGGTTAAGCATCCATCTTCGGCTCAGGTCATGATCTCACAGTCTGGGAGTTCAAGTTCTATGTCAGGCTCTGTGCTAACAGCTCAGAGCCTGGAGCCTGTCAGATTCTGTGTCTCCCTCTCCCTCTCTCTTTTTCTCTCTCTCTGCCCCAACCCCACTTGTGCTCTCTCTCTCTCTAAAAAATAAATAAACATTAAAAAAAAGAGTTGGAGGTTCAACCGACTGAGCCACCCAGGCACCCAGTTAGCTTCTGGCTTTTATGGTTCCTCAGAACAGTTCTGAAGGTTACTTTGGTCAGAGTTAAACTCAGTAAGGGTTTTGTATTTTGGTTTTGCTTTGTTTGAGTTTCGTTTGTCCTTCTATATTACAGAGGGGTTTATTTTTATTTTTTTTATTTATTTTTATTTTTTCATTTTTATTATTTTTTTTTTAGAAAGCTCATTTCTTTTTATTATTTTTTGTAATGTGTTTATTTGGTCTGGTGTTTAATGTGTTTATGTGGGATTCTTCCTAGATGGAAATACATCTTCCCAGGGATACAGGACCTTCCCAAAGCTTGATTCAGCTGGCAGGCTTTGGCTTATCCATCTGATTCTAATTTCCACTCTGGGAGTCCCACAGCGCAGGTGAGATTGAGGAGAGAAGGGGACATAGTGATGTGGCAGGAAGCACATAAGAAACAAACATTTCAGACAAAAATGGGCAGCCAGTGACTTACGGCATCGATCTTATTCTGTCTCCACAGACGAGGAATGTCACACACCTGCATAAACATCCCTTTCAGGTTGGCGATTACAACAGCTGCCAAGACCGACTGTCAAGAGGGACAGGGAAGGCTGTGTTATTCAGGGGAATGGTCTTCCATGTGAGGATTTGTAAATCTCCTGTTATTTCTCTGGTGACAGAGCAGTGAAGAGAAATTATGCAATCGGGCTGTTGGGAAGTAGGGTTGTACCTTCTGCAAGGGTTCCAGCAGCTTCCCCAGGGCAACAATGGCGACCATCACAATCCCAGCCGAGATGATGCCGGCAATCTGAAAGACACACACCTCCCATGAACGGGGTCCATCCCTCTCCCTCGTGTCTTCCAGCTTGCTGGATGTGTGCAGGAGAGCCTGGCCGTGGGTGCACCTCCCTGCCTCCCCCCTTCTGCTCAGTACTGTTGAGACAAATGAGAATTACTTCTTACAACTCTACACAACTGAAGGAAAAACGGGAAACGTATATATGGTAGCTATGGCAGGGAAATTAAAGAAAACATGAAGCCTGAGCTTGCGAAGGGAAAGCCGGCTGGGCCTGGATGGATTACAGACCTATAGCCTTGGTGTCAGGTGGGGAGGCCACACTTGTAATTATTTGCCATAGCGGGAAACATGGACCTCTCCCCTGCTGCAACAACAGATCGTGAATGTTCTTGGGCAATAAATTCCCAAGGCACACGTCTAATTCCTCCGCATTACTGAAGCAGTAGTCATAATAGCAGTTATTCTGATAACACATCATACGGACGGCACCGATTTGCACAGAAGTCTCAGAGAAAATAAGTGTACCGGCCCTTCTGCAAATTCAAAATGCTACAGGAGCATAATGAGAAGTGGGACCATACCCCCTGCCTCCTCCAACAGTCCCTGGGCGCAGGCTCAAGAGTTTTGCCCCCCAGCAGCCCGAGTGATGACGGGGCAACAGCAGGGGTTAAAGGACCTTCAGAAACGTTACCTTCGCTGGCAAAAAAAGCTCTCCTAAGATCCATAAATAGTTAGGAGAGAGGCTGAGGGGGTGGGGCTATTCTCTGGTTTGGTTAGCTGACCAGTGAACTCTCTGCTGAGACAGCTGGCACCTGGCCGAGGTGAAGACCAGAAGCTCTGAAACAAAGGAGAAAAGGAGACAGGGCACCAGAAGCAAAGCCACGAGAGAAGAAGCAACAGGGAAGATTGTACCGGGCACAGGGGGCCGCCTGGTACTGGAGGTGTGAGCTGAAAGAGACAGATAAAGCCAACATACGTAGGAGATCTAAAAACCATAGGGAATTTCATAGCCACCGTCTTTCCACCTGGCAGACTGATCATTCAGGTTCCCACCGTGGTGACCTCAGCCTGAGGCAACATCATGCAAATGATGGGCTGTGCACATCTGGATGCTTTGTACATTCAGAGCCCTCTGTTAGGCTCTTTGCTGCCCGTTAGCACCACGGCTCCAGGATGCCCGTGCCTTGGTGGTTTTCCCTCACCTCTCTGAGCGGAGCAGCTGATGTCCTCCCTTCTTCCCTCCCTTCCTTCCTTTCTTCCATACAATCGCTTAGCCAACATTGTTGTCTATCATGAGCCACTTGCACCTTGCCGTGGATGTAGGGCTCTGTGAATTGCTAAAGGAAAGGGAGATCTGGGGACAGAAATGACAGCCCATGTCGAGGGGAATGGCCACCCACTCGCCAAATATATGCAACACTAAGCCGCCAATTATGGGGACCAGGACGAATTTTGGTCGCTATATTAAAATCTGCGAGGGGTCCATTACATGCACTCACTCTATCAGGCTGGTTTGTGGGAGGTGCTGTACATTTTATATCTATGAGCACATTCAGTCGCTAGAAAATTAATTATTCTGTTACAAGTGAGAAGGTAATCGGAGCTGAGGGAAGTTTGCAATCAGAATTACTTTTTAGTGAGTCAGCAGGAGTCCGATGGGGGTGAAAGAAACAACAGGTTGCAATGTTCAGCTCTTCTACAATCTGAGGATGTGCTGCAGACAGTTAACGGTCACTAACCCTCATTATTCCATTCGTTCATTCAGGAAGTATTCGCCGGGGTGTTTCTTTTGCGTCAGGGCATAGTATATGCATCACAGGTACCACGATGCTTTTCCTATCGTGAGGAGTTAATGACAGGAACACTAAGTGTTTACAGGTATGTGCCAGCATCTTACAAACGTGGCGTGTGTTTGTTTTTAAATCCTCACAACATCCCTATGAGGGGGATACGATTAATCCTCCCATTTTATAGATGCTGAAAACTGAGGTCCCAACATCAGAGAAAACATGAGAAGCCACACAACAAGGGAAGAGCTGCCAGTGTGTGTGTTTGTGAGTCCCTGGATTGTAGTCCAGGCTATTAGACTTTTAACCCTGAACTTAGTATACATTTCAGTAATTAAAGAGCAAGTCACGTCTGTGCTTGCTTCGTTCTTCACTACTGAAATCCTGGCATCCTTCATTCCTAAATATAATACCTGCCAGTGTGTGACGGCAGGTGTCAGCTTACCAGAACACCATTACCCCCAGACCTCTGCCAAGGCATCACTTTACACGGGCATTCTTCCTGGGGCGGCTGGCCCGTGCCTCCTCGGAGGCTGGAGGGCAACAGCAGGAGAGTGGACCTCACCACTTGGGGACCTGCCCACACCCGCATGCTGCCACGGGAGTCTGTCAATGCCCCGGCTCAGGTGAAAGCCGCAGGGACCTGCGTGCTGACAGCCGCCTGAACACGGGGGCAGCTCTGGAGTCCCCTCCGGCCTCTTCCCCGGGGACCTCAGAGCACGGCTCTGCCTCTTGGCAAGGGCTGCGCTGTCTTACCTGCTCCCTCAGAGCGAGAAGTGTTCGCATCCCCAAGCCCCCGAAAAAGGAAATTCAATTATTAAAAGCAAAATTTTAGGGGCACCCGGGTGGCTAAGTCGGTTGAGCGTCCGACTTCGACTCAGGTTGACCTCACAGCTCATGAGTTCGAGCCCCACCTCCAGCTCACTACTGTCAGCACAGAGCCCACTTCAGATCCTCTCTTTGCCCTCCCCCACTTACACTCTCTCAAATATAAATAAACATTTTTTTTTAAAAAAAGCAAAATTCTGGGGCGCCTGGGTGGCGCAGTCGGTTAAGCGTCCGACTTCAGCCAGGTCACGATCTCGCGGTCCGTGAGTTCGAGCCCTGCATCAGGCTCTGGGCTGATGGCTCAGAGCCTGGAGCCTGTTTCCGATTCTGTGTCTCCCTCTCTCTCTGCCCCTCCCCCGTTCATGCTCTGTCTCTCTCTGTCCCAAAAATAAATAAACGTTGAAAAAAAAATTTAAAAAAAAATAAATAAATAAAAAAAGCAAAATTCTGAAAATTAAAATTAAATTTTGTTCCGCTGGAGCCAAGAAACTGGTAGAGGCTCATTCTTCCAAATCCGGCACAGAGATCCATTATAAATGGAAAGGGAGCATCATGTGTGCCTGGGGGGGACAAAGCTCCCCCTGGGCCACCGCAGGGAGTCACTAGTTTTCTCAGCCCATCTCTTTTATAAAACCCTGTCTGAAGACCGTGTGTGTTAGGGGTACTGCCTTTGGATTTGTTGTTCTCCTTTATAGCCTCATTACACTTTTACTCTTAAATAATAGCTGTGTGTTGGGGGGGGAAAGCCCTCCAGGCATGGCAGAAACACCACCCCTGAGCCTGTCCCATGCCCCCATCCACCTATTTGGGCCTCTCTGACCCCATTTCCTGCTAGAAAAGAGAGCCTTTGAGAACGAACGGCTCCTGAGCTTTCTGGCCTGTGGAAGGCAGGGTTATTCAGGGATTTGGGGTCACTTTGTGAAGGCGACAACTTAAACCCACGTTCCGAACTTCAGGAACACAAGTTGTACTCCAGAAGAAATGCCGAAATGTTACGACAACAATACTCTTGGCCAACAAACTTGTTCTGTGGGCCCAAAGGCCTCTGGAGGAAGTTCCTGATCCTTGTAAAGGAAATGTAGACAGACACTTTTGATTTTCCTGAAAACATAATACCTCCTAAGCCATGACGTGCTTTCACTAGGCCTTCTTTATACCCAGATAACAAATAGATAAAAATCAGTATTTTTCATTACTGATTCCTTGTCAGTTGTTTTTGTCCCTGGACAAGCAGGTAAGTATAGCTCTCTGCCAGCTGAGCAGTGACACAAAGAGATTAATTTGAGAATTTGTGCTTTAGGGAACCATAAATGTGAAGAAGATTTGGGCGGGGCGCCGGATCAAGGAGGCGCAAACCTATGTATCCAAGGTAATCCCCTTGCTGACTTCTCCTGCCAGCCTTCCTGAGAGCCACTTCCCCGGCTCATCCCTTGCAGGAGACACAAGCCACCACGCCGCTGTTCCATACCTGTGTCTTTCCCCCTGTGCTCTCCTGGACGGCGGTGCGGGACAAGGCGGTGGTGGCCACAAAACAAGAGAAGAATCCCGAGAAGATGTTGCTGATCCCAAAGGCAATGAATTCCTAAGGCAGAGACCGGGTGGCAGTGATGCGAACACATACAATCTTTGCAAGACCCTCGCCAACCGTGTGAGGAAGAATAAGAAAGCCAACTCCCCAGACCACCCTGTCTGGTAGCCCCAATTTAATCTTTACCGTTAAAAGTGCTTGGAGGTCTTGAAAGGCATTCAGGACTTGGGGCTCCACAGAGTCTAAGAGAGACCTCACGGCTCTCAATCATTTTTAAGGTTGCTAAGGAATAGTCACTGGTTAAAATGCTGACTTCCCTTCCCGGCGAGTGGTGTATCTGTAGCTCTCGCAGAAAGCATTGTTCTGTTCGCACATAAAGTGTTTCTTCTGTGGTTGGATGTTTGCTGGGAAGCATATTATGACTAGGACGGCCATGATTCTGCCTGACCACTAATCATTGAGCTGCTGTGACTGCTATGCTGTGTTTTCAAAAACAAACCACACTGACAGATTTGTGAGCAATCTAAAACCGGCTCATTTTGCAACGAACATAGCATATGCCTACAAAAAAGGTTTGTGTGTATTAATTGCAATGAGCCACCTCAATTTAAGGTGGTCACAACTCCCATCGATGGGGTTTGTTGCATTGTTTTGCCATACTATAGGTGCCATTAAATAAAATATACCAGGGGAGCCTGGACTGCATGAAGAAATCTTAGGCTGACCCAACACGTTAGCTTTGAATGTTATTTATGACCTGACTAAATTAACTCTTAAAGTTCGGGTTATTTCAACTTCTTAAAAAGGAAAGAGATACAACATGCCTGTTTCTAATTAATTTCGAATTCGCATGCTTAAGAGGGAAACCCTAGCTTGATAAGGGCTAGCGAGAGGGACCAATCCCTTCCTTAGCAGACAACAGAATCTACCCTGTTTATGCTTTTTTCTTGTCTTCAGCCCTACAAAAGTGATTCAGCACACGGGGGACCATACCTGGTTCCCGTCGATGGTGTAATCATACTTGATGGCATATACTTTTCCTACAGACACTGCAATAGCATAGGCCACCACGGCGATGGAAAACGATGCAGCCAACATCTCGGAAAACAAGCTCACAGGTGGAAGTACAGGAGGCAAAAACCTAGAGAGTTTTTAAACGAAAACTGCAGTGAGCATTTGACCATAATTCTCTGTTCCTACCTCACCAGATGCTATATCCACCCAACCCCCAAGTCAGACGCGAAAGGGCTGGATCCTAAGGGCAAAAAGCAGGAGACAAGTAAGTGTTGGCATTGCTTTTACAATTTTTAGTTAGAAGCTGGTGCTGTCTCACTGGCTGACTTCTCTGCCCCTCTTTGAGAGCTTACAAACGCTGCCTTATCCAGACCTCTGACATGAATAAGCCTGTCGTTATGGATCCTATAATATCACACAATCCCATGCCATGCCATTTCACACATTAGTGTTTCCCCTTACCCACTTTTATCTTAAAGGTCTTTGAATTTAAAAGATAGTCTGGCCATAAAATAAGATTTTCCCCATACAAAGAGATGTCAGGTCTATTAAAGAGACAAACAATATAAGATGCTGAAAGAAAGACCTACGTAGAAAATCAATGTCTTGGGATGCCTGGGTGTCTCAGTCAGTTAAGTGTCCGACTCTTGATTTCGGCTCAGGGAATGATCCCAGGGTTATGGGATTGAGCCCCACATAGATAGGGCTCTGCACTGAGCATGAAGCCTGTTTAAGATTCTCTCCCTCCCTCCGTCCCTCTCTCTCTCTTTCTCTCTCTCTCTCTCTCTCCCTCTACCCTTCCCCCCTGCTCTCTTAAAAAAAAAATTAAAGGGGCACTTGGGTAGCTCAGTCAGTTGAGGATCCAACTTTGGCTCAGGTCATGATCTCACAGTTCATGGGTTCAAGCCCTACACCAGGCTCTGTGGTGACAGCTCAGAGCCTGGAGCTTGTTTCAGATTCTGTCTCCCTCTTTCTCTTTGCCCTTCCCTGTTCATGCTGTCTCTCTCTCTCAAAAATAAACATTAAAAAATTTTTTAATTTAAAAAATTAAAAAGAAAGAAAAGATTTTCCATATCTTAAGAGCTATGATATTTAAAATCTTCCTGAGTCCAGAAAAGATTAAATTTACATAGTTATCAGAATGATCCTTCATCACAATGACTAAGACTTCTCAATGACTGTGGGGTTGAATGACTACTGTTTGACAAACTAGAGCTATTCTACAAACCATGTAAAGAAATAAACTTAGGGGTGCCTGGCTGGCTCAATCCATAGAGCATGTGACTCTTAATCTTAGGATCATGAGTTCAAGCCCCATGTTGGGCATAAAAGCCTATTTGAAAAGAAGGAAGGTAGGAAGGCAGGAAGGCAGGAAGGCAGGAAGGAAGGAAGGAAAGAAAAAACAAAGAAAGAAAGCTATAAGTTTATAATGCTACAGTTGTCCCCAAATATGAATATTGGGAGAATGACTTTCATGTACCTATATCTTGATGACTATCCATAGAGTATATATCCAGAAGTCCCTAAGCCAAAAACCTTCAAAACAAACAAACAAACAAAACCCACTAAAACAATCTCCCTCACCTAGCTCACTTATGTCTGAGTTTCCTTTAAAAACATTTTTTTAATGTTTATTTTTGAGAGAGAGACACACAGAGTGTGAGCAGGGGAGGGGCAGAGAGAGCGAGACACAGAATCCGAAGCAGGCACCAGGCTCTGAGTGGTCAGCACAGAGCCCAATGTGGCGCTCAAACCCACAAGCTGTGAGATCATGACCTGAGCCAAAGTTGGACACTTAACTGACTGAGCCACCCAGGTGCCCCCTGAGTTTCCTTTAATAGGGAACTACATTTCCCCCCCTCTAATTAGAGAGAAGTGCTAAAACAGAAATAAGATTGTTATAGAAAACCATAGAAATTTAGAGCTGCTAATATCCTAATATTATCCAAATTAATATCCTAATCTAATATCCTAGAAATTTTTGAATCTACTTCTCTCCTTTTGTTGACAAGGGAACTGAGGCTCAGAAAAGTGAAATGACTTGCTCAAGGTCATTTAGAAGGGTCCAGGTAATGTTGATTTCCTTTGTACCAAGATCTGTCTGGTTCTCTGCCTCTGTAGGCTTTTTTTCTCCCTACAGGCGAGGTTACTTCCAGACTCCTTTCCTCCCACATCCCATCCTGACCCACATGTAGGCTTGGGAATGGATATTGTATGTAGAAATATGGGATGTTCGAAACCCTGATCCAGCCCTTGAGTGACCCGGCATCACACCTCCACTTGTCTAGACATAAGCTTGGACCTTATTTTTTAAAACCAGGCTTCTGACTCGTTCCTGAGACCCAACCAACCCTCCTTCAGGTAATTAGGTCTGTTGGGATAACTTTCCAGTCCTGCAAAGAGTTCCATTTTGATTGCAACCTGATGCCCACTGCCTGCCTGGCTGCCTACTTCTCCAATTCCAGATCCTTCTACCAGGTCCTTGATTCCCCAAGGTCACAATGTTCAGGGACTTGAAATCAAAGAACCCGAATGCTGGCTCTATCACTCTGTAAGTAACTCTCTGACTTTGGGCATATTATTTAAACTTACAAAGTCCCAGTTTCTTTAGCTATCAAATGGGAACTATATACTCTTCTCATAAGGTTATTGGAAGGAGTAAAGGAAGTATGGTATGTGTAAGTAATTAGTACCTACGCACATAGTGGGTACTCAGTAAATGTGGGGAGACCCTAAATCTGCCATGCACCTGCCATGCTTTTGTAGTGCCTTGCAGGATCTTAGCAGTGGCAATTTTCTGCCCCAAGTCGCTCACTTGGGGCCCTGGCTGGACATCTTCTACTGACTTCTTGAGTAATCTTTCCCCTAGCTCCTGCCCCCTTCAGTGGCCCTGTTGGGCTGCAGCAAACTACACCAGGTGGTCTGTCAGAGGAGTCAACATGACTCAACCCAAGGGTCAAGGGGGCTAGAGAGATCCACTTCAGGAGGACAGCAGTCAGGAAAGCCCTGGACAGGGCCAGAAAGGAGGACTGAGGGAAGCAAAAATGAGTTCCTCAAACCTATTCATGGAACATGCATTTATGGCACAGGGCATTTGCTGTGGACCGCCTCTAAGTGTTACATCTTAGGAAGCCTGACAAAAAGGATCCATTAAAATATATGTCTTATGTAGTTGTTTTATAACCACTCAAATCATGAAAATACTGTAAGACCGCAAATAGCCACATTACATCTTTTATCACAAAATGTCTTCCAGCATCAGGATTCATTACCAAAACATTGGTCATAAGAATCACTTGATGAAACACCTTTGGAAAGTAATTAAAAAAAAAAAAAATGGGTGGTGGGGAGCACCTG